GCGGGACTTGGGAGGGCGCATCACAGGAGAGGAGTCGCTGGGCGAACGAGACGGGGAGGAGTGTTGGGAATATATCTTGAAAGATTTTACAGATTGGCTTCTTGGAGAAGAACAATGGGGGGGCTCTGGTAGAGCTCTGTGGGGAATGGACGTTGAAGCTGTTTTGGCAAGCGTGCATGTCCTCTCCTCTCTTTCTCCTCTCCTGTCTTCCTGCTTTTTGAAGCTCTTACAATGAGAGACTTCCTGCGAGAAGGGTCACCCGGAGCTGACTGAGACACCACAATACAGATGCAGTGTTATCGGGCACACGTTGCTAAGGAAGAAAAAGAGTCTGGCTGTGGGTCTGGAAGTGAAGCAATTGTTGTGCTTGTTGGTCATAAGATCACTTTGTTGGCTGTATACAGTTTCTTGTATCGGGAATTTCTTTTCTAATGACAGAGAAGCCAGCTGTTGACGTTGGTTATAGTTCTGCTAATCAAGATGTTAAACCGCAATGAATCATAATTAATGAAATTAAGAAGTTTGTGCACAAGTAGTTTGTGAGAGCAACTTTTCGTTTCCCTACATATAGATTGGGGGGGGGGGACAGGAATTTCAGTAGCAGAAACTGAACTGGTGGACCTGGTTAATGACTGTTTTCTTCGTTTGTCGAACACCTACAGCACGAACTGTGTGTATCAACCTGTCTTTTCAAATCTTCAGGACTGAGTGAGGCAAAGAGGTGAGAAAACCATTAGGGAACTGGGAAAGTGTGGAGTGCCCTGAAGCAAACTTTGAAACTGTCGTTTCAGAAAAGCAGGCTTTGAAGGAAAGACATTTTAAGACCGGGATATGATAGATGTGGAATCGGAGTATTCAGGGCAAGTCTAAAAAATGTTTCATTTATAGCGCAGAACAACTTAATCCCGAAATTGTCAATAAAACAAAATGCCGCTCAAATGAGTCAACATTCAGCCGAAACCAAAGTAAAGGAAAAGAAAGCACTCCATGAAGTGGTTAAAAACAGGATCTGGATAAAGAAAAGGAGTGCTATGAATCTGTCTGTCTCTCCGAACCTTAGTTTGTCAAACTTGAGAAGTGTAAGTAAGATGCCTTTTCAAATAAACAATAGATGGCTATGTGGGTCAAGAAAACTGCACTTCAGAAATGCACTTTTAATAGCCGATCGAATGATAGTCTTGGGGTAGAAAGATTTACCTGTTTCTGGAGACAGTTGCTGGCAGTGTTGTAGAAATATTGGGGGTGCCCAGACCCATGGTTGAGGCACGGTTTTTAGCAGGCAGTAGTCAATAACTCTTATAATAGTACTGTTTCCAGCAATTCACAATGCAGTCTGAAATAACTGCACAATGTCTACCTAGTCTTATGATCTCAAAGCTCAGCCACCAGCTTTGAGCTGATAAAAATCTCCCTTGCTTGAACGCTTCTGTAGATAATAGCTAGCGCTTAGTTTTTTTAGTTTTCTTGTTTTCTTTGTTGCTCAAAGAAAGTAAACAAATCTATATCTTCCAATTTACGATGTAAAAATGGTTTGAGTTTGAAGTTCTGGTCGATTTAAAAAGGTTTATAGATTAAGTCCTACTGAGAAGTATTCTGTAGAATGTCTTTTAGCGAGATGTTCACTGTGGGTGTTTTTTCTTAGCAGCTGATAGGGTAGTGCTCGTTAATGTTGGTTTGTTTTTTAGCAGTCCTTTTATGGCCTAGTGTTGCAGGACAAAACAAGACAAACCCAGCTGTGAAACCTCCGGAGGCTAGACTGCTTTCCGGCTGCAAGATTGTTTGGCTATTGAGTCCAGCACAGAGCAAGGGCTTGCTTTCGTTTAGAAATGAATGATGGCTCGGAGTCTGATGTCTGTTCTGTACACGACTGCAGTGTTTCTCAACATTTTCCACAGCCCACGTTAACTAAATCGGGATGCTTCTCCCCTACTTATGTCACCAGCCCGAGCACATCATTAATATGATCAATATCCAGATATATTGATTTACTATCGTCCTACTCCCCACCTCGCAACCTGTGTTTGTGTAATTGTGGCCACCTGTCTGCTCCGAGTGACGGTGCCTTCTCCTGCTGTACCCCAAAGCTGTGGAATTCTATCCCTAAGAATATCAGTCACCTTGCCTGAGCACTTTTCCCCCCTTTTATTTAACTGGTTCTGTCTCTGGTTTCCTACTGTCTTCCAAACCCTCCATGTCATTACCTCTTCATGCGGTGTCCTTGTTTCTTACTGTCAAGTGCTGTGAGAAGCCACTTCTAAACTAGTTTATTTTTATCAGAAGCGGAGCTTCTCTCTGTTTGACGTGTTCGACAGGAAGTCCATGGTCGGTTCTCACCGCCACACGTGGGGCTGGGGCTCAGCTGCTCTCGGACGTTCTCCGCTTTTGTTTTTCCTGTCCGTCAGACCTTCAAAGGCTGAACTTGCACCCCCACACAACTCTCACGTGACTCATATCCGAGCGTGGCCCCTGTCCCGATTGTGGTGGTGCGCCGCCGCCTTTCGGTCACTCCACGGCGCTCGTCTGCGGAAGTGAGATTGGGTTTCTTCATTTATTTCTCTCCTGCGTGACCTTTCCAGAATTCCTCGCCACACTGGGCAGTGTCTGGAGGCACGCGGGCTGCGAGGCACTGCGAAACTGCTGTCCTGCCCTTCCTTCTCTCCTGCAGCCTGGCTGGACTGGAATCGCTGGTTATGTTGAACAGCACTGGCTTTCAGCAGGCGTGGGGTCAATAACTGTTCACACTGGCAACCTGTCTCAGTGACCGTGGGCTTTTCTCACTGGCCTCATTGTGTAGTGCTGCAGCTGTTGTGTGCCTCTCTCAGTGTCTGCGGTGTGGGGGTGACTGTGGGCCTAGCTCAAGTCCCGTCGTCCTGTCTTACACAAGCGAGAGGCGTCTCTTTCACCCTAATGGACAGCGCCCTCATTACAGGTGGGGGTTTGAGTGCGTAATTTGAATTTTCAGCAAGCTGTACCAGCACGTGCCTGTCCATCAGGTTTCATAGCCGAAAGTGTGAGGAAGACATTCAATCCAGAAGAGAACAATTGAGCACTTTAGTTTTTTTGGGGGGGGAACTCCACTTTTGGCAGTCTTGGGTCTTCACTTTTTTTTTAAACTGTAGCCACGTTGATGCTTTCAAGGTTTTAAAGTCCTTCCTAAAGACATGAACAATTGCGAGGCTGTTGGAGATTCGTGTGTTGAAAGGATGCATTGTATCAGGAGGAACTACAGTACAGCTGGGTTTGCTTCTAAATGAGCGACTTGCAGCCAGCTTGCCAGCTACTCTTAAGTGGCGTAAGCTGTAATTCTGGAACGTGATTGATCCTAATTGCTTCAGAGCTGGCTGTGGATGACGTTGCCAGTGCTCTCTGCTCTCCGTGTTGGTAGCTGCATGGGCAGAGCACAGTGGCGCTAAAGCCAGTGAGCTCCAGATGTTTGTTCCAGGTATAGTATGTCGTCAGGTGAACCTGTGCGCTCTGTCACTCACAGTGAGTGATGCGCTGCCTTCTTCCCTCTAGACACGAGTGTCCTCTTTAAGCCCAGGCTGTGGGCTTATCTAGTGATGCACTGACGTGTGAAAAGTAAAACCACACAGGCCAATGTACACCAAAAGTGCGTAATGCGATATGCCCTTCCAGGAGATCAGAAGCTGTGCTGCGCTCCCAGACGGCTCTTGTAGTTGATGCCAAGGCTGCTCTACAGTGATGCTCGGCCTGCAAACTTCTGTCAACGGCTCCTTCTCAGGTTTCCCCTCAGCCAATGGGGAACTTGTGCTCTCGTCCTCGTTTTCCCTCCCTGAGAGAGAGAGAGAGATCCACCTTGAAAAGTCCCTTGGCTGAAACTGTGCACCCCACCTGCAAGGGAAGAGGGGGCCGAGTGTCCTCTAATCTTGCTGACGGCAGCGCTAACAAACAGCAGAGGGTCTCGTTCTATTTCGAACCCGGAAGTCTGAACGGCGAGCCCAGCTGGCGGTTGGTCCCGCAGCCCCACGTGGCCTGTCTGAGAGGTGGCAGTGGGGCACTGCCGATGGAGGGCTTGCAGGGCGAGCTGCTGCTTTCCCCGGTATTAATGATGCTTCCCTGTGCATCGTGAGAATTCAGCCTTTTTCCGCAGTGGAAGTGTGTGTGCTTGCTCTATTGATGTGGCTGTTTGCAGTCGGGGTTCTGCAGGTAATGTTACCAGGGATTGGAAATGGAGCCAACTGAGGTCTCATCCATTCCAGGTGTTAAATGATGGGGGTGCTGGAATTTTCTACCTTGGGCCTTCACTTCTAGTTAATTTGTGAAAAATGCAGTCTTGGCTGCCTTGCGTTTTCTCCTTCATCGTAACTGGATTTGCAGGAACCTGCGGCTCACAAGTCCTGAAATTGATCATCCTGCTGTGCAGTGGAAGTCTAATTTTGTTTCCCTGAAATTGCACTTGGGAGCATTTCTCATTTGAGAGCGTTTCATCTTGTGACTGCTGTAATAACCCATCCATTTCACTGGGTCTTCTTAGGAGGACACTTCTTGCACATATACATGCTGTTGGGCTTGCCTATAAACCAGGAAGGACCAGCTCTGGAGAGCCCGATATGTCTGTAGATTTTAATTCAAGCTCTTACTGACCTAAATCTGCTCGTTAGTGGACCAGTTGACCAACTTCACTGAGCTCTTCGGTTGTGCTGCTTTAACAAGACCTAGAAAATATACACTCAGTGGCCTACAGGACAGGATAGCCCAGTGAAATTTGTCTCCAAGCAAGCCTTAAAAAATTGTCGCAAAAGCAAACCATCCCTCGTTGGAAAGCTTAAAAAGACAGATGCTTGAGCTACTGAAGATGACAGAAGCCAGGGTGACTCAGGGTGACTTTCCTGTTCTCTTTTCTTCTGGGCTTCAGCCTCTCAGACGTGTTTATTAACGAGCTGTCTCTCACGGTGACGAAGAGGCTCTGTGCGCGTGCGGGGGTCCGGGCGGTGACGCTGGAGTGTGAATTTCTGACTCTGTTGCTTGTTTCCCCACAGAGCTGGCCAAGGTCTGCCAGGAGAGGGAGAACCTGGGAATGCTGGTGTGGTCTCCTAACCAGAACCTCGCAGAAGCCAAGTGTGAGTTAACCGTTTCTTGCACCTGCCTGCCTACACGCCTGGATCCTCCTGAGCTGCACTGGGGATACGCTCTAGGGGGGAGCAGGGGGGGTGCTGAAAGGTTTTAAGTGTGGGATGTGTAAATTTTGCCGATGGTGTAAAGAAACGGAGCGTTTTGGGAGTGCGAGGAGGGCCAGCTTTCTTAATTTTAAGAATTACACCATCAGCCTCTGAAGGTGTGTGGTGACGACACTTTGTGCTTGTGAGGTTTGTGCATCTGTGTTGGGAAAAATTAGTTTTAATACCTCTTTTGAAAGTCGGGAGATAACAACCTCCTCCGGTGTCTCTCCGTGCCAGGGAGACAGAGACGTCTCAGTGCTAGCCTGCAGCTTTACAGCCTGTTTGTATGCGAATCGGAAGCTTAAGTTAAACCCTTATTGTTAAAAGATTTGCCAGTACAATTGGCCAGCACTTCTGTGTGTGCTCGAAGCGAGTACATGCTGCATGGGCCCATCGTGTTTTGTAGTGCTTCTGATGTTCTGAGAGCAGTCAAAATAACTCCCACGTGTCTCATAAGGGCCAGACTAAATTGCATTAGCCCAGAACACCCAATGAGGAAAGTTACCAAAACCTGCGCCTTTTATGTGTAGTATCCAGACCGAGTCGGCCCACGCAGTTAACCAGCCCCAGTGAGCAGAGCCAGTGCACAGGCTTGGAGAGGGAGACCTCAAGCACATAAAGAGAGGGCCGTAAACCGGGTGAAGGAGGCAGGGGCCTGTCGCCCAGCCTGGGGGACACAAGCTGTACGGGCTGCCGCTGGGAGCAGGGGTGTGCCTCGCCAGTCACATGGTTGCCTGCGCAGTAACCTGACCTCAGGCCTGGCGCTTCGGAACAGCTGTCAGGGGGCTTCCTCCCTGCTGCAGCAGAGGGGGCAGAGAGGGGTAGTGTTCTGGCTCTGGTGCCCAGAAGGGGTTGGGGTTAAGGAAGGGGCTAGAGCCGGCAGCACTGGGGTGAAGGGTATAGGATTGGTGCACAGCTCGGGTCCTGGATCACCCTAGTGTCTCCAGGGTTTCCCTTGTACCTCAGCTGATCATCAGCCAAAACGGGCCAGTTTAACACTTTCCAAAGGTGTGCAGTTTAAAGAGCCATGGAACCATGTTTCCCAGCCTGTTCCGATTTCCCACCGAGTCAGCACGCTTGACTAAATCTAAAAGCCCTGCAGTGCACCTCCCCCCTCCCCCGTACATCACTGGCACGAGCACGTTATGATAACTTACCACCGCATGACTTGAAAATCACCCCCCACCAGACATGGCGGAGTAGGGGAATTTCACCAACTGAGAAATGCCGATCTGGCAAACTGCTTTCTCAGGACCCGGAGTTCAGCTTTAGAACTGAAGCTGAGGTTTGGGCCCAGGATTGGAGTTAATAGCAGCTTCACTTTTTTGCTTCAGGATCCCGCGTTAGCCTGCAAACTAGCTGCTCTCCAGTTAGCTGCTGGGGTTTAGGGGCTTTTCAGTGCGTCTTCTCCAGAGCCAAGCAGCGACTACGCTGTTCTCTGAACTGACCACTAGAGGGCAGCCTTGTGCTGCTACTGCCATCTGCAGCTCCAGTCCTGTCGAGTCACCCTGACATGCTGGTTTTCATTCCAGCTGAGCTCTGTGATTTAACTGGATCACGACTCGCCATGCTTCTCGACCGCATGAGGTAGCCTGCATAACCTGTCTGCACCTGGGCAGGGAAGGGTGGGGGGTGCTGGGGGTGTCCACAATTGGACACGAGTGTGAAAACATGGACCTTGCACATTTTTTTAAATTTCTGTTGGACATTTTAAAGGTGAGCTTCTTTTGCTGGCTCATTGGGACATGCATTTTGGTGTAAAACTAAAGGGCTTGGAGAGAGAGCCATTAAAGTCTATTTGCTGTGTTCTGAGGCGCTCTGGAAGTGCAGCTGTCTTGCCTGTCATGTGATGTAGTAACCACCAGATGGCAGGTTTTCTCTGGGGACATGGAGGCCCTGCTGCTCAGCTGTATTCAGCCTTTGCTAAGTACTCAATCTGAGAGTGAAGTGGGATTGCGTGGAAGCTATGTTTTTCTCCTTTATTTTTAGACTGCTTTCACCATTTATATGTCCCCCCGTTTGGGGTCACCGGTGCCCAATTGAATCAGCAGACTTTTTCAAACCCTATACCGTCATTTTTGGCGGGGGTGAGGACTGTGGTGAGACCTGTACTGTTAGCTTTCAGGTACCCAGCGTTCCATGGGGTCATGGGTGATACGGCTTAAGATATCCAGGTCGTCTTGAGCTTGCCCACCCCCCCGGGGGTATGGTGTGCTTGTTAAACCCTGCCACTGGCTGGCCAGCGAGCTGGCTGCATGCATGTGCCTGCACAGGCTGTGCCTCCTGTGTCCCCCAGCTCGGTCGGCAGAGCCCTGCAAGCGAGAGGAGCCATGCGGCCCATCCAGCCCATTGGCTGGCGGGCAGCTGATTGGTCACGGTATCTCATCCAGCCGGAAGCCGGGATAACGGCTTCGACGGCGTGGCTGGGCAGCTCGTTCCACGCTCCCGCCACCCTTGGGGAAAAGCTTGAGCGCCTTCAGGGACGTGGACTTGGCAGGTGGTTCAGGGGAGTGGAGGCGAGGCGGCCGCCTGCTCTGAAACGTGCCGCAGCAGAGCGGGTCCTCTCTCGGGGAGGAGGGGGGCCCGCGCGGGGGGGGGCATCTCCCCTGGGCATGGTGCTGTCCCTCCGAGCTCCTCACCGAAACCCCAGTGCTGTGAGCCGCCAGGTGGGCGCTATACCGGTCCCTGGGTGAAACCGATGCGTGTGGGGAGTTCATAGTCACCGCCTGGTGGGGGAGAGAGAGCTGCAGGTCTGTCCTCTCTGTCAGGACGTAAAAAACTTTCTTCGAGGCAGTTTGTCTGGACAGTCGAAGGGCGCCCTCCGGCTGGGTTTTGAACTCCAGTGCAAAGCACGCTGCGTTTTTTTTAAGCATCGAGTAAACCTGGGTTTCACTTGCAAAGCTAAGCCTAAATGTGCCGTATTTTCTCTCCTTAAAACATACATTTGTAACTTAAATGCTTACAGATTTTGTCGGGAAAAGTTTTTTTTTTTCCTTGTAAAAGCAAACAAACTCAGCCGAGCCCACGTTTACAAGGGAATGTCCTGTTTATTTAAATTAAACCTAGCTCTAGAATGTCACATCTGCTCGTGAGCTTGAAAAAAAGCCGTCCCGAAAATAGGCGAGCAAGCGTCGAAGACCTGGGAGAGGCGTTCTTCTTTTTGCCGGTGGATGAAGATTTCAGTTGACGAGGTATCAAGGAGAAAATTGGGGGGGGAAATGCTACATAAATAGCTGAGAGAGCTTGCAAGCGACCAGAGACTGTGCATTTTAGTCGCCTTTCTCATCTGGTTTCAGATTTATTGTTCCAAGTCAGAATGCTGCTTTCTGAGGAATCCCAGCGAATAATCTTGAATCACATTTTTTCATCTCGCCCACGTCTTGGCATAAAAAAGCACCACTTTTATTCTCCATCATGAATTCTGCTTGTCCATATGTTACTGCTTGTTTCTCACCGTTCTCATTTGTAACTATAAACTGTGCTATGGGTGATTTACCTTTTGTAGTTTTTGAGCCCCACACATGGCGAACACCCTACGATCTAAAACATTCTAGCGCACCGGACTAGATGCTGTTGCCCTCTCTGAGATCTGTGGATATTTGGTATTGCCGGGCAGCTGAATTTCTGAGCTCTTTTAAACCAGCATCTTTAACTCCCATCAGCAATTTTGCAGGCTAACAGATTTGTAGTGCAACTCAAGCACGCAAGCATGAGCATAAGCCCCTGTCATATCGTTCAAAAAAAAGACCTGGCTCATTCCCTTATTATGCTTGATAAGTTATTGCCAAACTAGAGGACAGGTCGAAGAGCATTTTTGTTCTGTGCCATTGTGGGACAGTGAGCAGGGGATGCATTTTGTAGTTGAAAAGACCATTTTTTCTTTTAATCACCTATTTCAAAATAACAAATTCTCATTCCTTGGGAAGACCTGGAGAGAGACAGACACAGAAGGGCATTTATTGGAGTGATCTTACTTTAGAGTGCAGCAGCAGTGTGCCACCTGGCATTTAACCTCACAACCTTCCAGTCCAGAGCCTCTGACCACTGATGCTCATGTGCTGTTAATTAAAAAAAAATAAGGCAAAAGCTTGGATCGGGGCTGATTTTCAGTGTCACTGGAGTGGCTGCTCTGTAGCGCGTGATTCACAGACTGTAGATGCCCAGAATCGGGTCATCTGTGAATGATTTAGCACCAGATTCCCCACAAATCTCCTGTTGCTCGCAAACAACACAGGCCTCACTGGAAAAACTCTATGATCCACCCGTCCCTGACTCACAGAGCAGGCTTGTACAATGCCTGAGCAATCTCAAGGGAGTTTTGAGGGTGATAGCAGCCCGAGTTACTTTGGGCCGGGTTTGGACTTTTCCTTCCGGTCCCTGTGGGAATGGGGTTAGTCTAATCTGCGCGAACCCTTCAGTGCTGTACATGAGGCAGGCAGGGAGCCTGCAGTGTCTGGGAGGAAATGGTGAATGTGTGGCCAGTGCAGCACAACTGCACTTGTTTCCTCTGCATGGTATTTGACTGGAGTTCCAAGATTTCAAGAAGTTCTCCAGAACTGGATCACTTGGCTCTGACCCATTTTTTTCTCTGACTGGGAGATTGGTGACATTGAATGCTTTCAGGGGAACTTTCTCGTCTTCAAAGATGCTCAAGTCGAGCTTCTGTCTCTTTCTCATCAGGTACATCAGTGAGTGATCACCTGGCCTGGTGCCCACTGCGCGAGTCGGGTGACTGGAGGTGCCCCCCCCCCCAAAGCAATCTGTGGTACCTCGGATTTCTCTGCCTCATCGCTGTCCCAGCTTACAAATTGAATAACTATCCCCCCATCTCATATCGTTAGTTGAATCAAGTTGAAATGATTCATCTTGCACCACTTTACATGTAGAAAAACCACCCGTTGGCGCAATCTATCGAAATTGATACCTTTGCTAGAATACTGTACATGTCATCGTGCTATGAGTTCCAGCAAGTGCATCGTCACGTTCCGAAAGCCTCTGTATCCTGGTAACCTGAAGCTGCTGGATTCCGATTCATTGACTCGGCTCCTTTTTACCATCAAAGGGGATGCAGAAAAGGCCACCCTCTCCTCCCACTCCCCACGCTTTGAATTCTGTCGACAGCGCTGACTCAGCGCGCTGCCAGATTTCCTTTCTTGAAGCTCTCGGTGTGTGTGTGAATTACTCGTGCAGCTCAGATCTGTTGAATCGTCGATTCACCATCTTTCCAATCTTTGTATTTTCAGCTTTATCTGGCCAGAGGTTAATTCATAGAAAGATCTGATTGGGTTGTTTTTAGCTGCTCATAATAGCCAGCAGGGCGTTTTTGCCACAGAAAGTCCCCTTGGTTGTCAATCTGTGCTGAGGTCTGTAATCTTCTTGATAAGTGACATAGTGTCCTGTGTGTTGCTCTGTCTATGATGAGTGCAGGGACTTCACAGCTCAGTTGTGCAGAGTAAACCACCTGACTTATAGTTTGACACCTGACTGACGCTCAGTCTCTAAGTTCTCTGAACTCTTTGCTCTGTAAAGCCTTTGAGTTTTTTCGCAGGAAGTCTTTTCTCTCTGACTCAAATGTCTGAATACCTTCTATATGATTTCTGCATTAGCACCTTTGCTATTTTATGTTCTCCCCCACATGCATTTAGCCTTCTCTTTAAATACCCCCACTGGTGAAATGAGGGTAGAGCAGGGGTTTCCTCTGGCCCTTGAAGTGGAGACACTTGTCTTGTTCAGGGCTCGTAAAGAGTGAGTACTTTAGCTGTGGGACAAGGGAGAAATTTGTTCAGTTAAGTGAGTTTAGATACCTATGATTTATGAAGTATGGAGTATACAGAGTAATGAAGTACGGAAGATTTGTTTCAAGCCAACTTCAATAAACATATCTGTTGCCATTAGGAATGCATCTGCCGACAGTCTCTTTTAATAAGAGACTTTAACCTGACAATCAAAGGCATGCAGGAGAGGGAATCGAGTAGTTATTGAAGGACTTGGTGATGCTAGAATTCAGGAGTGGAAGTGAGCTACGACACCAGGGTAAAATGCTGTTGAAAACCATGATCAAACATTTCAGCTAGGTAAGATGTGGGAGTGCAGTCTGTACATGTGCAACTGACCTTGAGTGACGAGGTGTTCTGTATAGTATCTGCCTTTCCAGGGAGATATATGAAGCCTTAGCCCGAATAAGAAAGCAGTACAGGGCTCTTTCTGGGAACATTTGAAGTGTAGATCAAGTTTGTCATTATACTCATATACAGGTATATGGTATAATGAAATGCTATTTAGCTAGCTCTCAGACGATACGTAGTACCAAAAAACAACAATACAATTGTATAATAAAAGAAAGACAGAGACAACAGGCAGTGTGCAAAACAACAACAGGCTACAGGTAATTTGCAAAACAACATCAGATGTGCAAAAACATGCATCAACAGAATGAAATAAAAGGATAGAAATTATGGGTAGTGAGCTTTTTGACATGTACGGTAGATTTCAATGTGTGTTTGAGTTTTTGGTAAGAATGAAGGCACTGTGAGGTTCGGATCATAGGTGAGAGTGAGAGAGGCTGGGAGTTTAATAGTTTGAAAGTGCTGGGGTAAAAACTGTCTCTGAGTCTGGTAGTCCGGGCCTGAATGCTCTGGTACTTTTTTCCAGGTGGTAGAGGATCATACAGTCTGTAGCTGGGGTGTGTGGTCTTTGATGATGCTTAGAGCTTTCCTCAAGCACCGTCTGTCATAAATATCCTGTATAGATGGGAGGGCAACCTCGGTGATGGACTGGGCAGTTTTCACCACCCGCTGTAGGGCTTTGCGGTCAGCAGCACTGCAGTTGCCATACCACACTGTGATGCAACCTGTCAGATGGCCATCTGGACACTTGTCCTGATCTAAGGAAGTTTTTTTTTTAATATCCTGCCCTCGTTTTGCATGTTGACTCTGGGTGATACAGCGCTTTTAGTCCTGCGAGACTGAGCCAGAGTGCTCCTTGTTCAAGAGCTGGGTCTGCCGATTTGTAAGTAGTGAGACACTGCACTAGTGGGTTATTTCCACTGTGGTCAGAATGCTTGGTTGCTATTCAGTTTCTGAGACCAAACCGGTTTACTTTAGCATTTTTTGAATACAGGAAACTTAGATTTTTTTTCTGTTAGAACTGTAGACCTACATCAGAAATAAGGAGAGAGAGAGAGGAAATGCACTCAGTGTTCTCTTTTTCGAAGTGTATTCCCCTGGGCTGGTTTGAAGGTGGGGGGGGGGACCGGCACTCACATTCGAAACGGAGTCTGCAGTGTTGAGGCGCGTTGCTACTGAGCTCAGACCAGCCTGGCTGACTAAACTCGGTAAAGACCCAGACCTCTGTTCGTAGAGTTGGAGACGTTTCCCGATAGGACTTTTTTATTCTGTAGTTTATTGCTTATCCCATTCGTCTTCTTTCTTCATATAGGTCACCAAGGTTGTCATAGCATTTCTCGGTACATGCACAGTGGTGTTTTTGTTTTCCAGTTTTCCTGAAACTCGGCAGTCAAATTTTGCACTCGTTTACCCAGCCTGTATCGCCAGTTTCTAAAAACAAATGTTTTGGAACATGCGGCTGACTGAATCTGGGTTATTTTGGTAAACCACTGAAAATGGTCCACATCTGACTACAACGCTGAACGATTCCCTGGATCCAGACACGTCTTTGCTCTTCATTTGTTAAAATTTAAGGCTTATTACTGAACTCTGCAAAGGGGGTAGGGAGCATTTTGAGGGGTAGGTTTTGCAGGTAGCATGGAAATGTCCTGATCGTTCACGTTATTGGGTTGTTATATTTCCTAGCTTCACTTTCAGGAGCGCAGCTCTCTCGTCACAGCGGTAAATCTCCCTGCTGCGGCTCGCGGTCCCGCGTGCACGATCGAGACCAACGGCCCCGACGTCCGAAATGCGTCCTCTGTTCGGCACAGGGCGTGGGCGCTCGGAATCACCCGGCCTCAGGTTGGCAGGAGTGTCGGAGACGGGCCCTCTCCCCGCGCCTGCCCGGGTCGCGGGCTCTGGCCGGGGCCAGCTGGAGCAGTGAAACCAGCGGGCTCTGACAGCGGCGCCGAGCTGCGAGCGGATGCTGGCTGGCGCGGGGACAGCCCCTGGTGTTCTGGGGGGGGAGGGGGCGTGAGCTGGGCTGTGTGGGTATGCCAGACCTCTCGGAGCACGCGTGAGCCGATCCCGGGATTCCCCCACCCCCCCCAGGGTAGGGATTGGACAGGTGGAGTTCTGCAGTTGTGCTTGTCCTCCCGCTGCCGTCATGCGGGGAGTCTCTGGTGCCTCTGGGGCTGTGCTGAGAAAGATGCACCACCTGGGGAAAAAACGGGGGACGTTTTAGCTTGTCGTCCTTTTTTAAGGCTGGAACACAAACTGGTCGAAGTTTGAGAGCCAGTCTTTTAGTGCATGGCGAGTCCACGAGTGAGCAGCCAACTCTAGCAGGTGTGTGAGGTTGCCGAGTTGCCGGTCTCTCTAGCACCCTGTCTAACCATCTTGTTTGTCTTGTATTGCAGTGGATGAGTACATTACGATTGCCAAAGAGAAGCATGGCTACAACATGGAGCAGGTGACGACAATTTCTACTCTCTACTCCCCCCCCCATGAATCCCTTTCAACACTTGTGGTGCTTTAGTTATAAACGCAATAAATGCATACATGTGCAAAATGTCTTTGTGTGGCTGATCTCTCGTTGCAACAAAGGAAAAACCTTCACCTTTTTGGGGATCCTCTGTGTTGTGGGTGTCCCATACAGCTGCCCGGTTGAAAGGGCTGAGCTGAATTCTCTCCTGAGAACCTACAGTGCTGGTTAGTCTCTTCCTCTGTTGGCCTTTCCCTCCCCCCAGTTTAGTCATTCCTGTTCCAGGGGGGCTGGCAGGACTGCATCCCTGCAATTACGTGAATATCAGGAGAGCGACTTTGTGGCAGTAGAAGGCCCACACCTTCTTGTTTCAGCCCATGCCCGCATGGCAGAGCTGCTGCCCACTGGGTTCACAGAAACCCGCTCCAGCCCTGGCAGTCGTGCGCCGTGCCAGCCAGGAAACTCTCTGGGCCTCTCGCTCAAAGGGAGTCGAAACATTTGTCTAGGGTTCTTGTTTTTGAATCTCACCCCCAAGAAGGGGGAACTCGCTCTCTCACCACGGTTCTGTAAATATTTACAGGCCAACAAACTTAAAACCTCGTTGTTGGATAAGATTCGTCTTGGCACCACGAACCCTTGTTGTGCTGGGTTTTGCTCTTTTGATGTTCTCCAGCGTGAAGTTTGAAGTCATGGGCGATGGGCCTGGAGTATGGCGCCAGCTATTGATACATCTGTTGAGTTCTTTAATCAACGACCCTTAAACCAAAGCAGGTTTTGGCGCACATTAAATAGAAAGGGTTTTAAGTAATCCTTTTCAGGATGTTGGATGATTTGATCTTTTTTTGAATGCTTCATCATGGTCTGCTTCCTCATTTTGCCATGAGTCACATTTACAGGTTTTGTGTATCATTTTGCCGTAAGAACTGAAAGATCTCAAAGTGAGAATATTAAGGACATTAAAATCATAAGTGCTGAGGCTGTTTGTCCCATCTAGGCCTTTTGGTAATTAGTAGCTGATTGATAAAGGACCTCATCCAGCTGTTTCTTGAAGGACACCGGGGTATCGATGCTAACATCATGGCTGGGTAGTTCCCCACTACCACAAGTAAATAAGTCCTTCTCGTTCTCAGTCTTAAATGCACTTCCAAATTGTTTCCACTTGTCCTCTCATTTCTTTCACTGGACTTTATTCTGAAGTCCATTCAGTTGGGTTTTGTTTATTCCTTTTAGAATTTTTATGTACTTGGTTCAGAGATTTTTCCAGAGGAAAAGATCTGTTCCTGTCAATATGGGACACTCCCTCAACCTCCAGAATGAGTCTTATTTGTCAGGCTCGTTTGCTCCAATCCTCGGCCCAGTACAGCTTTCTGTTCGGACTGTGCAGTCTAAGATCGGTCCCAACCCCCCAGCCCGTTTCCAGAGATGGGTTGGAATGAAAAATCCTAAAGCTTGCTTCCTTGAAGATGAAGAAGTGATGTACACTATTGCGTAGATACAGCAGATGAATTCAGAACGTGTACAGTCTGGCTAAGCACTTCGTGTTGAGTAGGGGGTCCCATCCTATAAGATAAGTATTGTGGGATCCTTTGGGGACGGAAAGCACTATATTAATAAAAGCAAAAAGAAGTGTACATTTTACTCATTATCTGGCTTTCGTTAAAGTTTCTAATTTTGATAATACAAGCTGTGTAGTGTGGAGCAGTGGTTAAGGTTGTGGACTCAGTGTAGATGCAGGTCACTGAATAAAGGCATCAGCCCAATTATTATTTAGTGTCTCAAGAGCTAATGATATCTGATTGGTAATCAGTCAGGGTTCCCAGTAAGTACTTCTCCTGGGAATCCTGACATCCTAACTTTTAATTAAACTACCATGAAGTGCTTATCGACGCTCTCGTGTGCTTAGTAAAGAGAACGAGAAGATCGAGAAGATGCATGTCGGGGCAAAATGGCTGTGCTGGACTGATCAGGGAGGGTTTTATCCGTCATGAAATGCCAGTGTGTGTGTACACACAGCCTTCTGTTTTCCGAACCCCTTTGCTCCGTCTCCCCGCAGGCCTTGGGGATGCTGTTCTGGCACAAGCACAACATTGAGAAGTCCCTGGCCGACCTGCCCAACTTCACCCCCTTCCCCGACGAGTGGACCGTGGAGGACCGGGTGCTGTTCGAGCAGGGCTTCAGCTTCCACGGCAAGACCTTCCAGCGCATCCAGCAGATGGTGAGAGGCGGCCGCCAGCGAGGGGGGCCCGCGGCTGCACCTGCGGACCCGTGCTCCGAGCAGGGTGCGGGGGCGGCCTTGAGCCCGGACAAGCTCCGCGCGTGCCCGTTCGTGTGGCCCTGAGACATAAATCCCAGCTCCTCCCATAATGATGTTCAGTCTGGCGATTTAGAGCAGCCACGTCATGATTCACATTCTCTTCTTGCAAGGGTACACGCGGCACTTACACAAGCAGCACGGGGTGGAGGGGGGGTTGTCCTTCTCAAATGCTGGCACGTGGGGATGAGCCGCAAGCTCCATGTAGCCCTGCGCAGCCAGGTTGTCAGCAGTGACTACAAGTGGGGGTTCTGTGGGGACGAGGCTCTCTGGTCCTTAATATCTTCCTTAGGCCTCCCCGCTGAAGGGTCTGTTGGAGACAAGCAGTGCATCATCCTGCACAGTTGTGCCACACTCTGACCCACCAGTGTCAACACAGAAACTTGGTTCATGGTTAAAGTAGGGGATGGTTTTATTGCTGGGGAGTCCACCTGCAGTGTTGCTCCAACGTGGCAATGTCCCCACAACGTTCTCTTGATAAGGGGGGGACGTGTTGGTTCCTTTCTGTGCTTTTATTCCGTGATTTCTCGCCAGGGCTGGCGAGACACAGATTAAACTACCCCATCACCTGTCCCTGATCAGCTCTCCCTAATTAGGAGAAGTGTTTATGCAACAGTCAAAGCCATTAGAGAGCATTGCTGTCAGTCATTGAATCATTTCATCAGAATAACATCAAAAGGGTCACGGATCTTTATTTTCAGAACATGCAGGGATGGTGATGGGTTTGATGATGCCCAGCATGTCTTAATGCTGTTTTTGATGGTAGGCAAAAATAAACCCAACAACCATAAGACATTTCCTTCTCTTTGAGCTGAGATTGTGAAAACCAAAGAACTGACATGCAAGTTAAACAGGCCCTGGAGCGCAAGGTATTAGTGCAACCCATTTCCTGTCTGTGTGCTAAGAGTGTGAATTATCTGCGACACTGCAGTGTAATAACTACTTTTTTGCAGGAAACCTCAAGGAAATACTACAGTAAATCAAGAAGTCACTTACAGCCGCCAGGCTAACTTTGTTATACACACCCCTTTTTCCTGTAATAGACTGGTCTGCGGAGAAGAGCTCGGAGTGTGGTTTCTGTACACTACTGGCTGATCTCGAGAGCAATGCTGCAGGTCTCCCCTGCTGCACGAGTCCCCGTCTCGGCGGCGCGTCGGTACCGGTGCCCCTGCGGTGACTGTGGGCCTGTCTTCATTTGCAGCTGCCGGACAAGTCCATCGCCAGCCTGGTGAAGTTCTACTACTCCTGGAAGAAGACGCGCAGCCGGACCAGCGTGATGGACCGCCACGCCCGCAAGCAGAAGCGGGAGAGGGAGGAGAGGTGAGCCGCGCGCCTGGCCGCGCGGGCCGGAGCACCCCGAGGAGAGGGCCCTCCCGATCCCGAGCCCCAGATGGGAAAACCTGAACCTGTCCTCCGTCGGGAAACATCCCCCCCCAGTCGACTCCTGCACAGCAAAAACGAGGAAAATGGGTGCAGGTCTTCTGTTTCTGCGGGGTAATCGTGAGTCCTTGCAGCTGGGTAAGGCTGTTTTGTGTTTTTTTTATCTTGCAGCGAAGAAGAAATGGAGGAGAACAGTGCCAATCACCCCAGTGACGCAGAGTGCGACGCGAATAAGGAGGAAAAGAAAGAGGCAAGAACACTTTTTTTGTTTCAGGTTTACTTTTGGGACATTACAGCATTGTTTTCTGCCTTTTTTTTTTCCTCCTCGAATTTTAACAAGTCGCGGTGTCGTTCTGCAGAGCGCAGCAGGACCAGAGAAGCAGGAGCCGAACCCCGTGGTGATCTCCAAGGTACGCCCTCGCCGTCGGGAAGGGCTTCGCTGCGCCGTTTCCGAGTCCGGCTTTGCTCTTCTCCAGTCTTTGTTGAAGAACTGCGTCTGCACCACTTCCATTTCCTTGTCTCAGCCTGCAGTCTGCAGAGTTAGTTCAGCTTATGCAGGATACGTCAGTTGGCTCGAAAGGTGCTGACGCAGTCAGGCTCTTTGTTTTGAAGAAATGAGTGTCGTTGGCATGCATGTGGCTCTACTGTCTGGCCAAATTCCTCCCCCTTGGCGTGTATGGGTCCAGGTACCGACGTACATTCCCTGGCCCGTGGGTCTCTCGGTGTCTCGGGAAGAGACGGAAAAACCTGAAATCTGTTAGGAGCCCGAGGCGGATGCATGAATGTGCTGTCTCCTGTGACTTCTCTGTTGGAGGGAAGTTGCAGATCCACTTTGTGGATCCCGAGGTGGGCAGAGTCTTTCCTCGACTTCCTCAGTGTAAACCTGCCTTGTCATGCCTGCAAAATCCCTGTAGGAACTGCGGTTCCCGGAGCCGGGAGGAAGTCCTTGTGACTGGGCGATGTGGGGGAATCCCAGGTGGTGTTTCAGTTTCACGTCCCGTTTTCCCAAAAACCACGGCTGTCCTGCAGTTGTCCACCTCCTTTTGAAATTCAGGCATCTGGTTCAAGGTGTCTTCTTAATTTCTCTTCTGGACTTGGCTGGATTTTAATCTTGGCTAGCCTGGAAGGTTGAGAACATTTGGTTTTTGAAGTCTGGATATATAGCACAGGACTTTTGTGCTCTGTGTTCCCTATTTAGGACTTTTTTTCCCCATTTACATAGTGACATTTCAAACGAGCCTGTGGTCACAGCAGCGACCAGGGTTTTGGACTTGTATCTTGAAGGTTCAGATCCCAGATGAGCACTGCTGTCATACTGCAGTAAAATACCCAGCTTTATATTCAACTACTGATTCCCCTGTACTGTGCTCTGCAAGGTGCAATGTTAAAGACCAAAGATGAAAGATCCCTTGGAACTTTTCATAAGTCCTTGGAAAATTCCTCTCTAGATTGTAGAGTCTGTCCTCCCTGAAGTTCCCTCTTAATTCTTGATTTACCCTGTAGTTGCAGCAGGATGGCATCTGCTCATCACACAGGTGGGGGATGCCATTCGGTGTCAGTGCCCTACAGTAAAGCACCATATAAATGCAAGATTTCAATAATGACTGACCATACCGACAATACTTAACTGTGTTCATTTAAATGTCATAAGATTACCTTGCCTGTATTGCTGAATACTCCTGAACACAGTCTCGATGTTACTGACTGCTGAAATCTGACAGATTGCAGAATGTGGGGGACATGTTCATCAGTCATTTCACAGTAAAAACACATGAGGTCCCCCTGCAGTTCCCCTTCACGCGTGATGTTACATGACCTGTTGTGGATTTTGGACAAACCAGGATCAAATCAAAACTCATCCACCTGCTAAATGCTTAGTGGAGAGGCTGCAGTAGAATGACACAAACTTGTAGTGCCTTTTTGTAATTGGTGGTTGTGGGGGGGAGATTTGTTTTAATCCACAACTCATTTTAATCTCTTTTGTTGTCAACAAACTGCACAGATACAGAATGGTGCTTGCAGTAGCTGAATGGATATTCAGTGTGTTTTTCTGAGCCTTTGCGTGATTATAATCTGTATGTCAGAGCTGGAGTAGAACTTGACATCTATTTCCATTTTTCTAAAAACTTGTATTTCTCCGAATTTCAACTTAGTATTTATTATTTCCTTACTTTCTTGAGTTAGTATAGTTTTGTTCAGTTTTTTTGTTACTTTAAATTTGGGGTTTTGAGGTGTGAAGTGAGGAATGGCTGTGCCGAATTTGCAGGGAAGCTATGAGACTGCACACAATGCTTTTGATCCAAGCTAAGATAAGATCACTGTATTGGCCATATACAATTTCTTGTATTATGAGTTTCTTTTTACATACCCCAGCTTACTCTCCATGAGACAGACAGATGGGGAGAGAAGCTGGGGGTCAGAGTGCAGGGTCAGCCATTTATACAGCACCCCTGGAGCAGCTGGGGTTAAGGGCCTTGCTCAGGGGCCCAACGGAGTAGGATTCCTCTGCCAGCCGTGGGATTCGAGCTGGCAACCTCCCAGCCACAGGCGCAGATCCTTAGCCACAGAGCCACCGCATTGCCCCTCTGACTTACTCTACAGAATGGCATTTTAAAATTGCGTGTTGTCTCATTAATAGCTAAAGCCATTCTTTGTGTTTAATGTTAGGAATGAAGAGGGCTCCTTTTATATTGCAGAATTAAACTGCAATGCATTATAACGGTATTTAAAATTTAAAGGAGGGTTTTAAACTTTTGTTTCAGGGGAAGTGAACATAATGGTTCTGCTTCATTTGGTTTTGAAGTGCTATGCTTCAATACACAGGACTTGCAGTTCAAAACCATGAACTGTAGTAAGCAAGAAAATAGCGACTTTGTGCAGTGCCTGTATGTACCGAGAGTCATTGCTCAGCTTCCCTTCCCTGTAGTCACACCTGTAGTCACTGGGGGATTTAAGCTTTGTTTACACTATGAGCATATCTAGAAAGTCCCTTCTCAACTTGTTTATGAAGATCCGGTTAATCTTTACCAGTTGTACAGGCTTGGAACAAGGGGAGAAGAAAACATTTAGGTTAAGGAAATGTAGAAGCAAGGAAAACCTGGGAATTGCCCGGGGTGTCTGGGTCACCTCTCCAGGTCAAGGAAGTTTGCCGTGTTGGCACTGAGTGCAGGATCAGTCTACACCCAGGCTGTCCAGCAGGCGCCTCGACTCCAAACCGCTCGTTTACGACCTTGTGTTGCGGCTCGAGCCCTCTTCGTTCCTAAAATTAAACACGGACAGCTTTAGCTATTAGTATGTGGACCGATTTCCATGAGGTCATTGGACCGCTCCGATGTGGAAACGGTATCAGCCCCAACCAGTTGAAGTGTGAACCAAAGAAGGTGGTGGACTTCTTTTAGAACGGCACTCAGTCTTGAGCGTGTCCCGAGACCCCATTGTTCTGTAAATTAAAAAAAAAAGTGGGGAAAAAATCACACTGCAGTTCATAAAACGGCTTCATTTGCTTTGAGAGCTGGAGACGCTGGAGTGTGGGTTAGGAGACCTGTTGGGGGAAGGATGTCTTTATTTCCTCGCCTGTCCGCTGTCCTAACGTCTGCTCCTCTGCTCGCTGTGCCCCTGCAGCAGGGCAGCCCTGTGGAGAAGCCGGTGCAGGTGAAGAAGGAGCCGCAGGTCACCCCGGGCAAACACCTGCACAGGGCCAAGAAGAAGCCCCCCAAGGGCATGCACCTGTGCCACGCGGACGTGCAGGCCATGTCCGGCAGCACCACGGCGGCCGTCGGCGTGCTGCGCCAGCTGGACATGGAGCTCGTGTCCATCAAGCGGCAGGTCAGCCCCCAGCTCGCGCACGGGGGGGCGGCAGCAGGGCTGGGAGCCCCTAGGGTGGGTGTGGGTGTGGGGGGTGGGGGTGGGGAGGCGGGTGGCGGGGTGGGACATGCACCAGGCAGGTGGGCGGTCGGGCAGTTCTAGGGTGTAACGGTAGCAGTGGCGGTCAGTGGTGTGACAGGAATGCCAGTAGAAACAGTAGATAGAGCTACAGTGGTGCTCCTGAAAGCCACTGGATTCCAGAAAACCATGCAGTAGGAACCACTGGTTCAGTGGGAGTTAAAGGGTTAAACGGTGGAGAGTTTGGATTCACACTACTATAGTAATTGCTCACATCATAGGTTTGAATGTATTGCTTCTACATACATTCAAGTTAATAATGTGCATTAGAGATAAGTTCAAACAGAAAACAGTAATATAATAAAAAAAGGCATCTGTATTTACATCACTAAGCAAGGAGGAATTCTGCCGTGGAGGATAGGCAAGAACAGTTTTTGTAAGAAGCTTTATTAATAAGCTTTATAACGTCAAGCTTTTGTTCAAGAGTATTTTTCTCTTTTTACTGGCACCACACAGACCAGCAGACCGCTTCACACCCTGGCCTATATATGTGTTTACAAAGAATGATAGTAGCTGAGCAAAGCCTTCCAAGGGAGGCTCATGTAGTAGCATGAGCAAAGATGCACAACACTGCTGTGTGTGCAGGTTGGACAGACTGAAGGCGATGTGTGAGAGAACACGCCAGCATCCCGAGTGTGTCACTACGCTCAGGCGACTCCCGCGAGTCTATTTACTCAACATGTGTGACTACTGCCGGCATGCTTGAGCATGCTCCTGCACGGTGGACAAATCATTCCCCCATAAATCAGTCGCTTTATAGCCGATTATGCATTATAGCAGAAATGAGTGTAATTTCCTCATTACGTGATGGACATCTTTGCAAGCAAGGCACGGAACTGCAGTCTTTTCTTTTTTTAACTGAGCTGAGTGCAAAATCTTTCCTGTGCATCACGATCAAGTGAAATCTGCTTTCAGTAAGAGAATACTTAGGTTGAGACCTGTCTGTAATACTAGTGGGAGAGAGGGATCAATTTAAGAAAAGTTAGAAGAAATGTACATGTCTTTGTGATGGGTGCATCTTGGGCCTTATTTGCAGTCTGAAAATACCCAGCTGTGCTTTGGCCTAAGTAGTGGAAATGTTGCAAATTTGTGAACCTTTCTCTGCAGATCCAGAGCATTAAACAGACCAACAGTGTTCTGAAGGAGAAGCTGGAGTCGGGAGTGGACGAATACAGGCTGCCGGAGGTAGGGTGTGCTGCAGTCTCCCATCATGCACAGCCCTGCCAGGGTGACATGAGCTGCTCTGAGACCCTGTGCTGTGTGCTTGCAAGCTCAAACTGGAGAAAACAAATGGCTGGGCCTCGTACCATAGTTCTTCACGACTGTCAGGCTGTCTGGCATCATGAGCAAGCAGTAGCAGCGGGGTCACTTGAATGCAGCTGGGCTCTGAGGCAGGTTTCCCAGCCTTGCTTCTGCGTCTTGACTTGCATCTTGCTTCTGCTTCCACCTCTGACTTAAAAAAAAAAAAAAAAAACCAGGACAGAAGTATCTGTAAAAGCAGATCAGTTGGTTAGAACTTCATAATACCCCTTTTCCACCCAGAAATTGTGCAAAGTAGACTTAATCCTATATTGACTTTTTGGTGGTTGCAGAGAGTGTTTTGTTTTATCTGTTACTCCACCTATTCCCCTGTTACTGTAATCGCTCTAACAGTACACAGTGCCATACAGACTCGCAAGGTAACCTGACTGTTAACTGCATGACCCTTTTCCCTTTTGATGATGCACTTGCTGGATCGGTGTGCTCGGTCCTCTGGGCTTAGACCCATGCAGTCCTGCATTAACCCGCACCTTCTCTCTCAGGTGGCTCAGAAATTCAATGCTCGCTGGACGACAGAGGAGCAGCTCCTGGCTGTGCAAGGTATTGTCTTGGCAACCCCTATAAATGATTTACTGTGATCAAAACGTGTCTGGATGCGGTCAGGCTTCAGATGCCTGCACTGGTTCTGCAAGTGAGTGAGGGCGCGCGTTAAAGAGCTGCTTTTTGTCTGATCTTCTGACCCCCCTCCCCCCAGCGATCAGAAAGTACGGGCGTGACTTCCAGGCCATCTCCGATGTCATCGGCAACAAGTCGGTGGTGCAGGTGAAGAACTTCTTCGTGAATTACCGGCGGCGCTTCAACCTGGACGAGGTCCTGCAGGAGTGGGAGGCGGAGCACGGGGACAAGGAGGCCAACGGCAGTGAGGGAGAGAAGATGGACACCTCGCCCGAGGCCTGCGCCACCAAGCTGGCCCCCGAGGAGCAGGAGGAGGTAGCACAACCCCCCCCCTCCCCCGGCCCAGTCCTAGCGCCCCAGGGCACAGGTGTCCAGGCGCTGCAGTGCTGGCAGGGGCTTCCCAGCACTGGCCATCGCCCCCCGAAGCCTCAGGCCGACAGCACTCTGTGATAGGATCCCCCTCCAAATCAAAAATAGCTCAGCTTTTCTACATTTTCACTCCACAGGCTGCAGTTTGTTAAACCCATGTGGGCAATGAGTCTGTAATATTCCAGTAACTTCTAAACAGTACAGCTCCCAGGCCTCTTGTCTGTACAAAGCCATGGTGCTGTAGAGAAGGAGTGATGGGTGTATTGCAGGACTTTCTTACCACGTTGAAGCCATTAAAAGAACTTCATATTTATACAGAAAAAAAACATTGCATCACCTACTAGAGAATTGCCCTTACTAGCCTAGGGGTTTGGGGCCTTGGCTAGTGAGATAGAAGCACATGGTCCAGACTGTGGAAACGGCATATGACCAACTTCTCTGAAAATCAGACTCGCCCTTCACAGCAAATCAGACTGACGAAGAGCTCTCGGAGTCAGGTTTTTTTTTGCCTTTTATTCTTTCACTGGACTTGGCTTCATGAATTGGAGGTATGGTGACTTCCCAGAATCTAAGGCTTGATCATTAAGCTCAAAGATTCTGGTTTTGGGAGATGAGTTTCTATATCAGCCAGATGAGCTTGTACAGTGATGTTGAGCTTCAGCGCAACGTGGTTCATGGTGGGTAAAGATAGCGATGCTGCTCTGTGTAAAAAAAAAAAAAAAATGCTGCCATGTTCCTCTCACTGCTGCACTGTTGCAAAGCGTCCCAGAGTTCTGTGGGAGAGCATCCCCTCTCTCTGCCCTTAAACACGCTGGATCTCTGTGGTGCTGCGTTCCAAACCTGCACCCTGTGACCGGTCTCCCTGGCCTTGCTCTTTGTTGGGGTGCAGAATATAGAAGTTCGGGGGAGCAGCCCTCAGAAATGAGGCACACGTGCAAAGCCGTAAGCAGCAGGCAGATTTCCAGTCTCGCAGGATCTCCTGCCGCGGTGTCTGCCGCTCGCCCCCGGCGCCTGACGAGCCCGCCTTGTTTTGCAGGTCTGTCCGGTTCTGGATGTGCGATACCCCTCGGCGTCGTGAGGCCAGGAGCAGCGGGGGGCCCGCGGGGGAAGCTGTCCTGGGCTCCCTCTCTCCGTTCAGTTCCTGTTCCGAAGGCCAGGCCGTCAGGGCGCAGGGGGCGGACCCGCCCGCTGACCCCACCCTCCGCCTGGGGCTCCCCCTCTGGACAAGCCGCTGTCGCCAAAAAAAAACCCCCCAAACCACAACGGCGAGTCGAGAAGACGGGGATCGCGCAGGCGTGCGTCCTCGCCGTCGTTTCCGTGCCGGCAGGCTTTCCTTTCATCTTTCCGGCTGCCCTCCCATCCCCCCCTCGGCGCCCACGGACTTCCTGCCGTGCAGGTGTGGTGTCCCCATCGGTCTCCCGCTGCCGCTCCGTCTTCAACCTCCTCTCGCGCGCCACTCTCCCCAAACCCGCGCCGAGCAGGGCACCCGCCCCAGACGCCGCCCCAGGACAGGGCTCCGGAGAAGAGGAACTCGGGGTTTCCGCCGTCGTCCGCCCGGAGCAGGGGGGCGGGAGACCCCGGGCTGCCTCTCGTGTTCCCCCCTGGCCCCCCCCCGTGCGCGCACATTCCCAGGTCAGGGCAGGGAGCGCGAGTGGCGGAGCCCGGCGAGCCCTGACGGAGTTCCTGTGCTCTTTTTCCCGGCCCCCCCCCCCTGCGCCGCGGCCGGGGGCAGGGGTGCAGGAACGAGGGGGTGGGGGGTCCCAGGAAGTCCTGGGGGACACGGGGAGAGCGCTACAGCTCCAGCCCCCTCGCCCTGGGAGGGCGGCCGGAGGGGAAGTTGAAAATGATGTGAAACGACCACCAGGGCAGGGGAAGGAGTGGCAGAGTGTCCCGGAGGAACATCCCTGACGTTGTCATCCGTGCTGCGCCTCTCCCTGTTACTTTCACTGGATGCCCGCTCTGATCCCGTTGCTCGGACACTTTATCCTTTTCTAGATTTTTTTTTTAAAAAAAACTGATTCTTACCGGTTCCACTCACCTTACAGACTGCTGATTTTTTTTTTCCAAAAGCGTGGCTGTCACTGTACTAGTAACAATATTATTCTATATATTTTTGTTTAACTTTGATATTTTATTAAATAATGTGAATGCCATATTTGTATAATATTGGAAATGGGATTTTTTAAAGCATTCTGTATAATTTATTGCATACATATACAATAGTGTAATCAAAGCCTAGCTCAGAGTATACCTTATAGCCTAAAGGAATTAGGGGACAAATTATTGCCTTTTTATTTTTTTTATTCCATTAATATTTTATTTAAACCTTTTCTGTATAGTTCTTTAATTTAGCTCTTCCATATGCATTTTTTCTAAAATGTTACTTGAAAGTTGGCATTAAAAGTCAGAGGGACCTGGACTGACTAGGAGATCAGGGCTTGCTGGAGGGTTCAAGGCAGCACGCAACACTTAACGCCCTGTTGCACAGGCTTGTGTGACACGCTGACTCCTGGATTTTCATTAGGTCCATTGTCTGTCCATCTTCACGAAGGTTCAGTCAACCTTTTTTTGTATGACTTTCTTTAGGAGGCCATGTGGTCTTCGCGATTTACTCTTCAGTTCAGGTGTCTTTTTTGTTGAAAGTAGATTGAGTAGTTTCGAGCTGTTGCCCCCTGGTGGACACGGGTTGCATCACATCCCATGGGCCTTCGGTCTGTGAAATCGTCAGACGGTTACAGCACCACTAGGTGGGTCTGTTAGGGGCAAGCGTTTTGCTATGTATTTTTTTTTCTCCTATTCCCCGATACAAGAGTAGGATACAATGGTGTAGCCTATAAGGTTCCAAGAGCGAGCTAGGAACTTAGAATTAAACCCTCTTCGTGGCATTAAATGCTTCTCTCAGTGGTAAAACCACAGGCCTGACGGATTGTCTGGAAATTCCTGACAAGTTCCGCTCTGCGCGAAACAAGCTTTAGTACAGTTAGTGCTATTTTTTTTGATCTCCTCACCGTGACGACCTTGCGCTCGGAGCGTCTTCAGAAGCCGAAAGGGATGGACAGGGACTTGAGTGGAAACCTGGCGCCCGTGTGCCAGTCCTGCAGCAGCTCAGGGGGTCGTGAAGGGTTGGCGTGGCTCTTGGAGGACTTGCGGGGAAGAGAACTCGTTTTCCTGTTGTTCGGTTTTCTTCTTGCATGGACCAGCTGGAGTCCTCCAGCGCCGAGCAGTCGTGCCCTTCTCATATCGTGGGCTTTCAAGATCCCCGTTAACTTCCATTCACACTGAACTATTACATAGAATTATGTATGGGCAGGATTTTTAAGTGACCCAGGCAGTTCTAACAGCTTGATTGCTGTTTCCAGAGGCCTCAGGCCTGATTGCAGGCAGGCCCATGCTGGCGGCGCTGAGCGTTGAAGGGCTGTGGAGTAGCAGGGGCGGGTGTGGAGACTGCAGTAGTGGCTGTGGCTGGCATTGCCCTTGCAGAGAGAGCTGCCGTTGGTGCAATGGCCTTCCAGAGCTGCACCGACTAGGTCTGCCCTCCAAACGTGCGCATTTCGATCCAGAGTGCGCTCTGTCCTCCTGTGCCGAGTGGCCTAGTCGGCGGACGGTGTGGCCCTGGTCCCACTTCCATTCTGCTGTGGTGTGTTTGCAGCGAGTGCTCATCTTGTGCTGGGAGGGACGGATGCTTGTTGCTCAGCCGAGAGGGGGCTGAAGCCTGTCTGATCTCCTCCGGACTCTTGGAAGAAGATGGCTCGGCAAAACTAAGCTAGGAGACGAAAAGCTGAAACTAGTCCGCGACGGACAGTGACAACCATCACCATTAAACCCCCTTTTGAAACAGACCCTTACTGATAAACTGCAACCTTCTCCATTTATTTAGACGCACCTGGTCTTTGCAGCTTCTGACAGGATTGGGGTGGAACTTTGCACTCTGTAGCCAGTTGCTTAAATGCAAACACCTGCTGTTTTTTTTCTTATCCTATGTTTAGTGGATTGTGTGAGTTGATCAAATACCTCCCGTTGCCTTAACATTTCTCCAGTAGTGCACATGTTGTACATCGTGGACAATTTTATTTCCATTATAAAATGCAGTAGCAGAACTGCAGCATTAAGGCTGGATGTACTTCTGCTTCTAAGCTTGCAAATGAATTCAGGAGTAGCTCCAACAGTGCATCACATTTATTTGTACGCGTGTACTCTGCAGGGTTTTTTTTCCCCATATAATTTGTTGTGTTAAGTGAAGCTTGCCCCTATAGTAAATTGGAAAGGTTTGCGTCTTGAAGGGAATTGTTGGTGTTCTTCAGCTTGGTTTCATTGAAGGTTTATCTAACAATCCTGTATTCATATACCGGCTCGGTGCTGGCAGTCTGTCCTTTTGAAGCCATGAAATTTGACTTAAATGCAGCATATTTGAAGCACAGTTCATTTTACATAAGGAAAGCCCGGTCTATGCATGCTGTTGTGTGAGAATGAGTGTTTACATTTCTATGCTTCTGGAATTTATAGAGTTAAGTGTCTGGTTAGATAGTTTTAAACATATTTGAACTTCCTCTTAAGGTTTAATATGTAATTGTCATTTGTTTCAATTTTTTTTGGAAAAGCTATATTAAAACTGTTTTGAAATAAATGAGAAATGACCTATAACCTTGCATAAAGGAATGTTTTTTTTTTTTTGTAGTTGGTTGTGATAACCTCCTTTGTTTCATTTCTTCCTTGGTTCTGCAGAAATTCCACAGATTGTGGGATGAAAACGACGAGGCTTTGTCATTGTTTTCTGAAACTAGCGTTGATTCCACGCTGAAAAGCAGAAAGAAAGGGACACTGGGTCTCAACAGCCTCATCTGCGATTCTTCTGTCTACTTAAACCACTGGGAGATGAACATCTGCGTGTTCCTTTGCAGCAAACCAATCAAGTTTGACCAAGAGACCCTGACGCCAGCGAACGTGCACACCATCATTCAGACCCTGGCAGTTCCAGGAACCTTGAACCCAGGTCCCAGAGTACCACAGTCTTTCCTGCTTTACATATGCAGGACTTTTAGTGATCACTGAATACAAGATCAGCAAGCAGGACCACATCGCCAGGAATGACAGCTGTCTTCAGGGGCCAAGGCTGCTGGTCTGAGTGGAAGTCCAGGGTGCGAGTCTTTCTTCCAGAGCACCTTCTCTCTGCTCCCGGAGGGTCACAGAATCGTCCTGTGTTCTGGTCTCTTGCCCTCCTGTTCTGGGTCCGTCTTCCCAATGTGCGCCGCCCTGCAGTTTAAAAATAGCTCTTCCACTTTTGTTTTTGTCTGGGGCTGAGGGATGAAGAGGCAGTGGGCTTCCAACCCAGAGAGCCGTTTGAATGTGCTGCAAACATGGCAATTACTGGTTTGCTTCAGAAGTCGATGCGGCTTAACTTCTGAAGCCATGTATTGTTTTTAAAATAAACACAATAACATTGCCATAGACAATGTTACAAATATGTGCTGAGTTGAAGTATTTTGGAGGAAATTCATGTCGAGCATGTAGGGGCTTTCCTACAGTATGCACCAGACAGACTGAACAAAGGAAATTCTCTACAGGATCTTTTAAAAGTGCTGAGCTGCTCTATAAAGAAGGACTTAAAGGCCTTTATTCAATTGCCTTTTCTTGCAGATACCCTGAACTAAGACCATACCTATGTAAGCTTCCCTGCTGTTGCTTTAAAATTCTTTTGCCACTATCTCAATATTGAGTTGACCTTTGAAGACCTTTGTGCGGTAGCACATCAATATACTGAGCATGTGCACCATCATAAGTTTTTCACATGATATTACCCTACATTAAAAAGCTCTACAGCTATTTAAAATATAATAAACCTTTCTTTCAGGCTGGAGTCATAGCCTCACGGGCATTCATAAACGCATCAAGTTATCATCCCGTGAAATATCCAGAAATGAGGGAGCGATCATATTGGCGGGTTGCTTTCTCCATTATCTGTGACTGCAGACTAGTACCCGTCGTTTTAGTGTTTTTTTTTTTCCTGGGTGGGCTTTTTTAATTGTTGATCTGGAATGAACAAGACCTAACATCAGAGAGATGTGTTTGAGTTGGTAAGTAAATGCAATAGATGAGCCGTAACCGTCCACACGCGGTAAATGATCGGACTCGCTTCACGAGAAAATCCTATTATCCGAGGAAGATTTGTGTGTTTCGACGCAGCCAGTTTGTGGAAATTAGCTGGATTTTACATTTTTCTTAAATATGTACTCGTGAACAGCATCACGTTATCCTACAAATACGTTCTCTTCTTGCGTTTAGGCGAGCAGATCACCAGACAGAGGGTTGTCTTTGGTATAAATCCTCAACTTTACATTAAAAAAATTAAACCGCCGGGACACGGCGGTAAGGCGGTTCATGTTTACGGGCCTAAGCACCGCTTGCAGGAGTCGGCACAGGCGGCCTGACTACTCGTCTCTGCATTTTCAGCGCTAATCCAGAGCCGTGCCCGCGTCTCTGTAAGAGCTGACTCACTTTCTTGTGCGGGCTGGGAGGACCGGCTTCTTGCGTGCACACCGCGCTCGGAGCAGCTCGCCCGAAAGGCGAAGGGGCAGGGACACAAGGGGACTACTGAAACTGCAGGTAGTCCGTTTTTTTGGGGGGGGCCGTCTGCAGGGAAGAGCGTAGCCCCTCCAGCCGCTGCACCGTAAACCCAAGTAAGTGTGGTTATAAATGACCGTCTAAAGAGCCGTGTTTCTAATGAACGCCCCGGAACAGTTTTTCAAACGGTGTCCGGCATTTGGCAACCAGAGTAGACGTTCGGCTGACCCTTGGGGCTGAGCCGTAGGGTAATGTCAATGATTATGGGATTTCTGTGCTCAGAAGCCGTTTCGGATCGGGTGATTTGATGTCTACACTGATGGAATAAAATGGGTCGAGGGCTTCCGGCTAAATTAATACACAATATACAGCCAGCTGTTAATTCGCAGCGAACATCCAAGCAGGTTTGCCAAAAAGAAACAAAAAATGTTCCAACAGCCTGCACCGTCCGGGATACTGTAGCTTCATAACACGCGAGCGAAAATTAAAACACGTTACAATGTACGTATATGTGCTCCAGAGCTACAGGTCAAAGCCTGTTCATTTGAGCCTGTGCAACAGTCCTCCAGATTGTTTTTTTTTTTTAAAGTGAGGGTTATACTATCTAATAAAAAGTAGTAGCGAGGGGGGAGAAAAGAGTCCAGTGAAATGCGATGGGCGGGTTCAAACTGACACATGCCTTTTTTTTTTTTCATGACGGGGATTTCCAGAGGAAGTCAGACGGAGGGGCTTTCCAGCAGACTGAGCGCTGACAACACAGCCACGGAGATGCACCGCCGCGGCGTTCAATATGGGGTTTTTTTTCTGTTTGTGCAATGTCTTCACTCTGCTGTCACACACGTTCAACAATGGCACTGATGAATCAGTCCCGTCCGGCTGCGACTTTAAAATAGAAGACTCTAGTTTCCTTTTGATTTGACCGTTGTGTGTGTGTGTGTGTCTTTTTTTTTAAAAAAGAAAAGACTGCACATAACGTTTAACCGGGACTCGTTATATAAAAAATTAAAGATTGGTCACAGAAAAGCAGTATTGAGAAGGACGACGTCAACGATCTCTTATATGTAAGTAATCACATCGATGTTTTTTTTTTAAGTTTCTGTTCTAGTTCTAAACCAATATCTGAGACGTCGGTTTGTTTAAAGTACCTGATTTGGTCTGAATGTCACTATCCCATCCATTTTAAAAATGAACCATGTGTGGCGGCCAGCGTTTTAAAGGGACAGTCTCACGGTAACAGAAGCCTGTCTGAGCATTTGATACATTGTATTTTTCCAGTTTGCATGATGAAAATGGCCTCCTGCAATGTACTTTTAACCTTCTTTTAATCAATTTCATTTCTTATAAGCGTACTGCGTGATTTAGTGCTGTTTTTGAACGAATCGCGAGTTACTGACTGTCCCCTTTAAGATCTGACTTCACAGTATCTCATTCATTAATCGCAGGGAGTTGGTTGTTATGAATTGTTTCGGTATATGTTAGGTAGTTTTCACCTGGGGGATCACTCAATATCGATTAAAAAAAGGTGTCTAACTATCATGTTGTGTCTGTAAATTGTAACAGGGTAAGAAATATAGTACATGCATAAACAGCGTTAATACATAAAAATGCTTTATTATTATGAACTTTCTATTCCAAACGATGGCTATAAGAGATTAATATGGGGAGCAGTGCCAGTTTCCGACTCGCAAAGGAACAAGCTGAGGTTAATTTCGTGCTGAAAAGTAGAAAGAAGCAAAGCATTTCAGCTGGAAAGTGTTCTTCAGGAGGGAAGCCAAATTGTTGTTTTTCTTCTACTTTTTGTCTTGGAATTAACCTCTGCGCGGCTAAAACCCATTCAGAGAAAATAAACAAACCAATGGCCTTTGAAGGTTTTGGAAACAGAAAAAACCCGAGATATTGTGATTTTAGAATGAGTGGCGGGGAAGCACTGACATTTTCACACAAAGCGCCGTCTGTTTCAGTCTCCGTCTCGGCTGCCTTTTGAGTGATGGAGCACAGGACTGGTGTCTCCCATTACGCCACTTCACTTGTCCACAGACCGCGGTTTGAGTGAGGGGTTCACCTGGGGGCTCCCCAGGGACACGCAGGTGAGGGCTCTTGGTGGGCAGCGAGTGGGCCGGGCCCGGCCGAGCTACAGTGACCTCGGGGCTCGGCTGTCCCCTGCACAGCTGTGCCAGCCGGGTTTAGATGCAGGATGGAGTTTACGAGGCCCGTTATATTGTGGCTTTCCCCACGGCGTGCACACCGGCGATGAGACCTGTCCAGTTAAGAGCTGATGTAGTTCAGCCTGGTCATCTAGAGCTTATTCAGCCAGTCAAATCCGGAAGACTGTGGCCTTGCAGAAGGCCCTGCTCCCAGGTGTGGCTGAGCACGCAGCAGCTCTCCAAAATGCAAGAGCTGGGCTTTCCTGCGATGCCTGAAACTTCCTTAGGAAAGTTGGCCAGTTGTTGTGCTTTCTAGAGTCCTTCAAGGTCACATCTATGGTCCTTTAATTAGTCTTTAGCCTGGACGCCTCCAGGTGTCTGGACTGTAACATGCTCTATTGTATAGCTGAGTGTTGCCAACTGAGTAGCACCCCCCCTGGACGCTGCAAGAGTCCCTCTCCTTCGGGTGCTTCTGTCCTGAAAGAGAGACGGATATAGGGGGCTCAGAACCCCGAAAAACCTGCTTCCATATGTTGTGTGTGCTTTCATCAGGAAAGGCCCCCATCTTTTCTTTAATCTCCGTCGGCGGTACCTTTTGCATATTTGAAGAAACTTAAAGAAGAGTGGCCCCGGAGGACGTACCCACCATTCACTGGCTCTTGTGCGCTCTGCTGCGGAAGGGACGCAACTCCCTCACCCGTCCGCTCTGTTTTTTAAGAATGTTCCACCCCTGGCTCCGTTCCCACACTCTTTCGGCCTTGCTGTCACAGGGGAAGTACAGGACCTTTGGGCTCTTGATGGAGCTGCTGCTGCTGATGCTCCTCCTGAGCTGGGAGGTATTCCCCTTCTCCAAATGAAAGCAAAACTCCCTGCGCCGAGCAGAGACAGAGCAGCACATCATAAGTAAGTGGCAAGTTAAAACTAGATAAAAGCCACCTT